GAGGATCCTCCAAACACCTTTCATTTGGTGTTCCCTTCTCTATCTGAATTGCCCTTTCCCCTAGAATATCCGGCTGGCCTCTAAGTTATGGAGTAATCCTCCTGGTGTTGATCTCAGCTATTCTTAGGTATTGATCTCATATTTTGTTGCTTTATATACCCCAGATGAATGCAATTTTTCTATGTCTATCCCTCTCTTTCTGACTCATTTCGCTTAGCATGATACTTTCCATATTGTACCACTTGTATGTAAATTTCATGACTTCATCTTTTCTAAGAGCTACGTAGTACTCCATTGTGTAGATGTACCAGAGTTTCTTTAACCAGTCATCTGTTCTTGGGCACTCAGGTTTCTTCCAGTTTCTGGCTATTGTAAACAGTGCTGCAATGAACAAACAAGTGCAGATGTCACTTCGACTACACATTTTTGCCTCTCTGGGGTATATTCCCAGGAGTGGTATCGCTGGGTCAAATGGGAACTCAATTTCTAATTTTTTGAGAAACGTCCATACTGTTTTCCAAAAGGGCTGAACTAGTCGACATTCCCACCAACAGTGAAGGAGTGTCTCTTTCTCGCCACATCCACGCCAGCATCGGTTGCTTTTGCTCTTTTGAATGTGGGCCAGTCTCTGAGGTGTGAGATGGTATCTCATTGTGGTTTTGATCTGCATCTCCCTGATGATTAATGATGTAGAGCATTTTCTCATGTGCTTTTTTGCCATTCGGATTTCTTCTTTGAGAAAGTTTCTGTTCATTTCATTGCCCCATATTTTGATGGGGTTGGATGTTTTCTTCTTGTGGAGTTCCACCAGTATTTTGTATATCCTTGTTATCAACCCCTTGTCAGATGTGTATTCAGTGAATATCCTTTCCCATTCTGTAGACTGTCTTTGTATTTTGGTCACTGTTTCTTTGGAGGTGCAGAAGCTTCTTAGTTTAAGATAGTCCCATTTATCTATCTCTGTTTTTACTTGCTCGGCCAGTGGCGTGGCACAGCCATTGATTAGGCTGATTGAATTGGGCATGAATTCCACCTTAATTTTTTCTTTTTCACAAATTTATTTATTGAATCACTGTGAGAGTAGTTACAAAGCTTTTGGGTTTAAGTCTCGGTCATACAATGATGAAATACCTGTCCCTTCACCAGTGCCCATTTTCCACCACCAAAAACTCCAATATAACCCCCATCCCACACCCTCCCCCTACCTGTGAGGCAGATGATTTTCATATTACTCTCTCTCTACTTTGATGCCATTCAATATTTCAACACCAGACCCACCATTATTATTTGGAATTTTACCCCAACACTCAGATCTGTTGAAAAGGCAACAGTAGACAATTGGTTTACTATTGTTGGTTATGAACACTATTGCATGGCTGCAATAGTGGCCACGCAATTTTGGAATTTTGAAATTTTGACAATTAAATCTGGAGGGATTTCTGCCAAAAACTACTGGGTTCTGAAATTTGTTCCTGAGTCTCTGGGATCATGGCTGTTAAGCAGCTTGATCAGTAGCCAGACAGGCTATTCATGGGTGGTGAACTGGGGTCTCGTTGGGGCAGAAAGGAAAGGCTGGTTCTACCCCCATCCTGTGAGACTCTACTTGTCTCATCACTGCAGGCCCAAATCTGACTGTCAAATGGCCTCTGAAAATGCCAGCCACCAAGCCCCAAGAGGGAGCAGGCAGAGGGACAGCACCCGTTCCTCCCTGGGGTGACCCAGCACTGGCAACCCACTTGGGGTCCGGACACATCTCTGTCAAAAGCTGTTGGATTTCTAGACTTGTCTCCAAGTCTTAGAGATCATGGCTCTCAAGCAGTTTGATCAGGAACCAGAGAGGCCTTGCCTCCAATTATATAGCTGAGCCGGAGGTGGTTTGTGGGTGTGTCTCCCACATACCTAACTTTTGGCCATTCCCTTTCTTGGTAAACTTGGCCCTAAGTTGTTGGGGTCTGACTAAAGGCACAGCAGCAATTTTGGGGTATTTAGAAGTCTGACGGCACAATCAGGCTGCTGATGCACTCGCATCACAGGTACAGATTGACCTGCTGGCAGCACCATACCCCCGTCAACATATCTTTCATATCTTAGCTATTGTATTATGTGTAGTAATAAATAGTGGCATGCATACATCCTTTAGAATGAGTATTTTTAAGTCCCGAAGTAAATGCCCTAAAGTCAAATTTCTGGGTCACGTAGCAGTTCATTCTAAGTTTACTGAAGACTCTCCATACTGTTATTCACAAGGGTTGAATAAGACATCTTCACAACAGTGGATGAGAGTTCCTTGTTCACCATATCCCTGCCAACATTTATTGTTCATAATACTTGTGCTATGAACCATTCTCATTGGTTGAAATCTTATTTTCTTTACTAGGTTTCCCTAAGAATAAACAATGTTGAACAGTATTTTTATGTGTTTATTGGTCATCTGCTTGTTTTCCTCTTACAAAGCTGTTCATGGGTAGGAACATGATTCCTCTGCTCACTTCTTCTCTCTATTTTTGATAGTTTTTCTTTTTAATTGGTCGTGTAGCTGATCAGGAGACACGTCTTACCCACGGCGCCGTCTCCCACCACCACACACTTGATGGCCTGGAGCGATAGCACAGTGGTAGGGCATTCGCCTTACAAGCGGCCAACATGACCAACCCGAGTTCGATTCCTCCGCCCCTCTCGGAGAGCCCGGCAAGCTACCGAGAGTATCTCGCCCGCACGGCAGAGCCTGGCAAGCTCCCCGTGACGTATTCAATATGCCAAACACAGTAACAACAAAGTCTCCAATGGAGACGTTACTGGGCCCGCTCGAGCAAATCAACGATCAATGGGAGGGCCTTTACCTTTTACCTTTTTTCTTTTTAATATTTTTGTTGATCTTTTTGAGTTTTATATCCAGGTTTTTATCTGGTGTATTGAATATGAACATTTTTTCCATTCTATTGGCTGTCTTTTAGTTTTAGCCCAGGTTTATTTTGCCATACAGAAGATCTTTAATTTGATGCATTTTAATTTGTTCATTTTTTATTTTGTTTTCTTTACCAATGGTGTCATCACTGAAGATGCCTTTGTTGTCCAAATCTTAGATTGTTTGGCCTATGTTTTTTCAGTGTACTTTGCAGTTTTGGGCCTTATCTCAAAATTTTTAATCCATTTTGAATGGCTTTTGTGTAGGTATGAATACAGCATTAATTTTTTATACATAAACATCTAGTTTCCCCAGCACCAATTGTTGAGGAGGATATCTTTACTCCATTTCATGTTCTTAATTCCTTTATCAAAAATTAACTGTCCGTATATATGTGCTTTGCTCCTAGGCTATTCAATTCTGACATATTGATCTCAAAGTCTATCTTTATTCCAGTATCATCAGTTTTGATCACTATAACTTTATAGTACAGTCCAAGATTTTAAGGATAGCTATTAAAGGTCTCTTCTGATTCCACTCAAACTTTTTTATTGACATTTTTAGGCCTTTGAAGGATGTCATTTCAATTTCATCTCAACTAGAGATGAATGGGTCAAGAAGTTAAGATATATTTTAAATGCTATATGTAAATAATACACTAAATAATATGATAAATACTGTATACAAATAAAATATTTTGTAATACACAATGCAATACACAATGTAATACACTATGTAATGTATTGTGTACAGTGTAATACACAATGTAATACACTATGCAGCTCTAAGAAAAGACATGAAATTTACAGGAACACATATAGAACTAGAAGATATCATGCTGTCTGAACTCAGAAAGAAGGAAATAGATACATACAGAATGATCTCTTATATATAAGAGATATAATGTAAATATACACAGTTAGGTAGTAACAAAGGTTCAAAGGAAACAAAATGGAAAAAGTGACCAACACAATTGAATTGAGTGGGAATTGGCATGGAGGAGTCTTGGGTTCCTTGGTGGCATGGAGGAGTCTTGGGTTCCTTGGGGGAGAGAGAGAGAACATTGGTGATGCATGTGGTGTTGGATTTATACACACAAGAAACCATTATTAATAGTATATAAACAAAAAAATATCAATAAAACATAAGAAATAAAAATGATAAAAATAAAAGGAATACATAGGTTCATGAAATGCTATAAAAAAGAGAACTCAGAAGGAAAGATTAGGAAGTAAAATAGTTGAAAAAGAAAAGTTAAAATTAAAGGATAATTACTAAGACAATGCAAGTGACATAGGTTGAGAATATTTATGGAAATACAAATATTTATGGTACCTAAGGAGAGTGAAAAAGAAAATTGTTAGGATGATAAGAAACAGATCATAAAGTCAAGAGGAAAATAAAGGGGAAATTTTCATTGTATTTGAGGAGTGACTACTATCAATGTCCTGTGAAAAGTAATTTTAAATATGGTAAAGGTAAAGGTAAAGGCCCTCCCGTTGATCGTCGATTTGCTCGAGCGGGCCCAGTAACGTCTCCATTGGAGACTTTGTTGTTACTGTGTCTGGCATATCGAATACTCTCGGTAGCTTGCCGGGCTCTCCGAGAGGGGCAGAGGAATCGAACTCGGGTCAGCCATGTTGGCCGCTTGTAAGGCGAACACCCTACCGCTGTGCTATCGCTAAATATGAGTCTGAGTATTTGAGTAGACTGTAAATTAAGGATAGAAATAATAAACTATGCTTTAAATGATAAATTTTCATATATTTTATAGATGTTAATTTATGATGGTTCTGTATCATTAATTTTGAGCAGATATCCAAAATTTAGTGGAGAAATTTGTAGTAATAAAAAATAACTTATTTTCCTTCTATCTGCTTTGACTTGGGGTCATGAGATAAAAAATTTTAAGCAAGGACCCCAAACATTTGTTTTGCCTAAGTTGCAGGTCTATTAAAATGGTAAAGTGAATTATATTTTCTGAAAATATTTTGTAGCTTGTAAAAGTAACTCACAGCATAGTGAATATTCATAATGAACTGGATCCTGACTTACAAGATTACCTTCAGATGCTGACTGACTTGTTTTCTTACAGATTCTTGAACAATGTTGGTATATTTTTCCCCTTGATAATGATGCTGACGTGGATGGTGTCTGTAGCCAGCATGGTTCGAAAGTTGGTTTATGAGAGAGAAATCCAGATTGAAGAGGTAAATTGCTCTGAGTTTGCCTAAGAGACAAATAGGTAAAACTGACACCTTAAACTTGACCTGGTACAAAAAATCTTGCCCTGGATGCTTGTTTTTTGCCTCTACTCCTGTCTGCTGAAGTTTCTATGTTTGGATTCACAGAACAAAGGTTTGTTTTTTTTTTTCTTTTGGGGTCACACCCAGTGATGCACAGGGGTTACTCCTGGCTCATGCACTCAGGAATTATTCCTGACGGTACTCGGGGGACCATATGGGATGCTGGGAATCGAACCCAGGTCAGTTGCATGCAAGGCAAATGCCCTACCCACTGTGCTATTGCTCCAGCCCCTCACAGAGTTTCTTTACACCAAAGAATCATTGTATAGTTAAGTGTGAGAACCTTATTTAGTTAAGCAGAAAGAAAGGAAAGGAAGATGAAAAACAGCTACAAACACTGAGAGTGAAAGAGAAAAACTAACATTACTTATATAAAATCCATAGAAATAATAGTGTCACTGTCCCTGTCCTCCCATTGTTCATCAATTTTCTCAAGCGGGCCCAGTAACGTCTCCATTGTGACAATTGTTACTGTTTTTGGCATATTGCATATGTCACCGGCAGCTTGCCAGGCTTTGCCGTGCAGGCAAGATAATCTCGGTAGCTTGCTGGGCTCTCCGAGAGGGGTGGAGGAATCGAACTCGGGTTGGCCATGTTGGCCACTTACAAGGCAAACGTTTTATCCTCTGTGCTATCACTTTAGCCCAGAAATAATACATTGTGTCTTAATTATAGTCATAATTCTTCTTTCTTTTCCTTTTTCCCCACCTTATCTCTTCTTTCCATTGTTCTTGTTCTTATTGTTTTTCTTTTTCTTCCTACTCCTCCTCTTTCTACTCCCTCTCCTCCTCCTCCTCCTCCTCCTCCTCCTCTTCCTCCTCCTCCTCCTCCTCCTCCTCCTCCTCCTCCTCCTCCTCTTCTTCTTCTTCTTCTTCTTCTTCTTCTTCTTCTTCTTCTTCTTCTTCTTCTTCTTCTTCTTCTTCTTCTTCTTCTTCTTCTTCTTCTTCTTCTCCTTCTCCTCCTCCTCCTCCTCCTCCTCCTCCTCCTTCTCTTCCTCCTCCTTCTCCTCCTCCTCCTCCTCCTTCTTCTTCCCTTTCTTCCTCCATGCTTCCCTCCCTCTTCACATCTTCCTTCCTTCCTTCCTTCCTTCCTTCCTTCCTTCCTTCCTTCCTTCCTTCCTTTTTTCCTTCCCTTCTTTATTCTTTATCTCTTTTCAAGGCAGATATTCGACTGCTAAACAACATTATCTCAAACCACGGAATTATTTTTATGATTTTGTCTTAAATTTGTTAGATCTTGAACCTACCAAAGTTATTTTAAACAATGATTTTAAAATAAGTCTATATAGACCTTCTCCCATACAGCCCTGCAGAGGGGTGAAACCAACTGTGAGACAGTGGATAAATGCTATTCACTTGCTTAATATATGTTGAAATGAAGAAAATGGAAAGTAAGGTAAAATGTGCATTTTATTTTTACTAGAACTGCACTATAGCACTGTCCTCCTGTTGTTCACCGATTTGCTCGAGCGGGCACCAGTAACATCTCACAACAAATTGTGAGACTTGTTGTTACTGTTTTTGGCATATCAAATACGTCACAGATAGCTTGCCAGTCTCTGCCGTGTGGGTGAGATACTCTTGATAGCTTGCCGGGCTCTCTGAGAGGGGCAGAGGAATTGAACCCTGGTCGGCGGTCTGCAAGGCAAACTCCATACCTGCTGTGCTATTGCCCCACCCTTTACTAGAAAATATATTATTATTTTTCATATTGTTTACTCCTTATTACTTCTGAATTTCTATTTATTCCCTCATCTATTAGAGGAAAGAACACTAGAACTAGAGACTAAGTGTTAATCATATTTAATTCCGAGCTCTACTATTCATCTGGTGGCCCAGAATGGATACTTTGGAAGAGAATCTCATTTCGTTTGATATCAGGCATACAATAAGTAACAGGGGTCATATATAGACAGACATTAGGTTTAGTGATGATAGATTATTATTGCTATTACTCCCAACTGAATAATTTGGAAAAATTAATTTTTAAAAATTAATCAATTCACCACACAATCTCACCAAATTCACAATTTAAATACCAGAATTAATTTTTTTAGTTTTATTTTTTGTCTTGTTTAAATTAAACCAATGCAAACAAATAAGAAGCAAACATAATCATTGCAAAACAGCAAAACACAGATAAGTAGGAAACACGGAGAGAGCAGTCAATCAGGTCTGAATTTGGGGGCTTGTTTTTGCCCTATTCTTTAGTACATTTTATAAGATGTGTATGTATGAAATAGGAAAGCATGTATGTATAGCCTAGTGCTCTTCATGAATTGGATTTTCAAACCGGCAACGACACGGAAGACCTGCTTGCCTTTCTGCTTACACATTATCTCCCATATTCTGATAAGTGGTTTTATGTCCAGTGCTCTGGTAACTCTGTGCTTTTCATCTCTGACAGTACCTGAAGATGATGGGAGTGCACCCTATCATGCATTTTCTGGCTTGGTTCCTGGAGAACATGGCTATGTTGACTTTGAGCAGTGCTACCTTGGCTGTCATTTTGAAAATAAGTGGAATCTTCGCACACAGCAATGCTTTAATTATTTTTCTTTTTCTCCTCAATTTTGGGGTGTCAGTCATCATGCTAAGTTACTTCTTGAGTAATTTTTTTAATCAGGCAAACACAGCAGCCCTCTGTACAAGCCTAATATATATGATCAGCTTTTTGCCTTATATTGTTCTACTGATTCTGCATAACCAATTGAATGCTATCATCCAGACATTTCTGGTAAGTAGGATATTTTATAAATATGAAAAACAAAACAAAACCACTATCAGGCTATCAAAAGAAAATCATTACCTTAATTATCAAATTGATAATTTTCATATCTCCATGGGCTTTTAAGTTCTACTTTCTTTTCTATACCCACAGGTAGTTGCAGTGGTAGTTCATTGAAATTTTAGGACCTTTCTTATTGTTATTGTACTGATTTTGATGGAATTGATAATTTTTATGTGAAGGGAAATCTTTTGCAAAGAATATTTAAGAAATAAGTACCATGCTAAAGAAGGCACATGTCTGTTTTTTTAATGCATGAAATGAATTGCTAAAGTTATATTGAAAGTTGAACGTAAGTGTTTTGAACTAAAGCATTATGAATTACATCACCTGAAGTGGAAGTTCTCCATTTGTAATATTGGGTTCATTCATCCACTAAAAATGCATCTTCTGAAAAAGTTTAAGAATGCTTTCAGGTTTGTAATATGATATTGAGAAGACAAAAATTGGGTCATTAGTTTATGACTTGTCTGGAAATAACTGTGATAGATAGGTGGTAGGGAATTAATCATATTAAATGGAAAAACAAATAATTATTTAAAAGTCATATTTTATTATGGTCAAGGTCTTATTTTACATATAGTTGCCTTCTCCCCTCTGCTCATGAGGCAGGCTTCTAGATATGGACAATCTTCCTGGCCCATGTATTTAATGACCTTAGGTGTCAGTCTCATGTTATGTTATTTTATACACCACAAATGAGTGCAGTCCTTCTATATCTGTCCCTCTCTTTCTGACTCATTTCAGTTAGCATGATACTCTCCATGTTTATCCATTTATAAGCAATTTTCATGACTTCATCTTTCCTAACAGCTGCAGCTGTAATTGAGAAGGGATCACTAAGAAAATGATGGCTGGAGGAATTGGTCGGTATGGGAGATGTGTGCTGAAAGTAGTTAATGGACCAAACATGATAACCTTTCAGTATCTGTATTGCAAATCATAATGCCCAAAAGTAGAGAGAGAGTACGGCGAATATTGTCTGCCATGGCAGTGGGAAAGGGGGACTATACTAGGGATATAAGTTGTGGTGAATATGCACTGGTAGAGGGATGGGTATTTGATCATTGTGTGATTGTAACCCAATCATGAAAACTTGTAACTATCTCACAGTGATTCAATAAAATTTAAAAAAAGAAAAAAAGGTCTTATTATCCACGAGAATCAAGTGAATACCTCAAATTTCGGTCTATTGGGAGGTATGATTGCTGTCATTAAGGGAAAATTTAGGGAAGAACTAACAAGTCTTAGTCACTTAGCCATACATAGCAATCACAGAATTCTTTCAGGAATTAGTCTACGTATTTCTGATATTTAGGGTGAAATATTTCTAAGAAAATTAAACTATTTACTCCAATATCAATAAACTCTGTATATTACATATTTCTCACTAGTTATATACATAATACATAGGTGTTTATGCACATGGAAAATTTTGTTTTGGAATTTATGCATTGAAATATGCTCATCACTTTTGATTTATTTATATTACACCTGCAAGAGTTCATAACCAGTAATTGTGTATTAGTGTTAGAGTTTTTGAACTAACTAGAAAAAACAAGAATTATTTTTGCTTTCACTTCAATCTGTACTATAGCACTGTCCTCCCATTTTTCATCAATTTGCTCTAGCGGGCCCAGTAACGTTTCCATTGTGAAACTTGTTGTTACTGTGTTTGGCATATAGAATGTGTCACGGGTGGCTTGCCAAGCTTTGCGTGCGGGCAAGATACTCTCTTTAGCTTGCCTGGCTTACTGATAGGGGCAGAGGAATCGAACCCGGCTCGGCTGAGTCAGCCACATGCAAGGCGAACACCCTACCGCTGAGCTGTTGCTCCAGCTCAATATGTACATTTAAAAAAATCTTAACATCTAGAGTTCAATTTCCCATTTATATCTTCACTTTTTCTAGAAAATTAAGTGTTTAATCTGGTGTATTATATATATATACATATATTTACATAGAATATTTTTTAAAATAAATTCTGTTTTTCTCACATAGGTCCTCTCCAGTAGAAATAAAATAACATTTTTCCTTCAATATTTTCTATTCCAATAGAATACTGTATATGATCTTTCAGTTTGCCAGCAGGATGTTTCAAGGCAGTCACTTAATAAAAAAATAGAATATTCCTCTATTTCATTTTCTACTGTTTTTCATATTATTTTATTTGTACGCTTTAAGTTTATCACACTTAAAGCATTAAAATAATGTTAAAAACTAGCTTGTTATTAAGTTTTTCAAAATAGACTATCATGTGGTTAATTGTTTCAGGATTAGATATTTAAATCACACCCTAGAACAAATCTTTGATGTTTTTAACACCATTGTGAATTGGGACTTCGTTTTTATGTTTAATGCAGTTGTCAGTTTATTTTGATATAAAGCAAGCTCAATGTTTTTTTTTAATTCTATTTAATCAATGCAGTGCCTTCTCTCAACGACTGCCTTTGGACAAGGAATATTTTTTGTTACTTTCCTAGAAGGGCAAGAAACAGGTAAGATGATACTTTTATTTTTTACTTTTTGGGCTATACCTTGCTATGTTTATGACTTACTACTGGCACTGTCCTCAGAGATGACTCCTGGATGGGCTTGGAGAAACGGATGGAGTGCTAGGGATTAAACCTGGGTTGGTGCATATAAGGCAAGTTCCCTACATTCTGTAATCCTAGCTATCACTGTATCACTGTCACTGTATCATTGTTGTCCATTGACTTCCTCGAGCAGGCATCAGTAACATCTCCTCCTAACCCTGAGATTTTAGAAAGTGCTGCATTAGAGGCTCTTTCAGGGTCAGGGGAATAAGACTCATAACTGTTACTGGGTTTTGGCATATCGAATATGCCACGGGGAGTTTGCCAGACTTTGCCGTTCTGGCAGGATACTCTTGGTAGCCTGCTGGGTTCTCCAAGAGTAAGAACTAGATAATAAGATGTTGCTTCTGGGAACTTGGTTTTATAGTCTCCGGGTCTTGGCCATTGATGGGATAACATGCCACCAGGGGCAGTTGGTGGGTGTAACGCCTAGCTACTGGAAGATGGGGGATCTGGGTGGAGGAGGCCCAGTCCCGATCCAAGCAGGCTTGGAGATCTCAGCCCCTGGGTTCCTCTGCCAAGCCCCAGCTAATGCATTTAAAAAAAGTGTCTTTTTAAAAATTTATTCTTTTAATTTTAAATTTTTTTTACATTTTTATTTAAAAAGATAAATAAATGAAATAAAAATCCCCCTAAGTTTTAAAAATTAAAAAAATAAAAAGTGATGAATTAAAAAAATAAAAATAAATGTTATTGAAGTAAAATCACATTGGGACATATGTTTCAGTTGTGCATCTTCATCATAAACATTTGTGTATAACAAATATGTTAATTGTTGAAGAGTCTATCCAGTCTTTTACTATATAATTAACTTCACTTAGTTGAATTACTGAAACCACTTGACATACTTTTACATTCATTTGTTCTCATGATATCAATATCCAACAATATCCCTTATGTTACTTCTATTTCACCTCATCAAACCTTCTCTGCTCTTTTTCATTCTCTCTTGGTCTTGTCAGTTTTGTAAGACAGATAAAGGGTTTGTTATCATTTGATGATGCCTATTCTCCTTTTATTTAATTATGTAACAAAATTGTGAAAGATCATCTGGTATTAGTCCTGTTACCTCTAGCTTGGGGCTAGAGTGATAGCACAGCAGATAGGGTGTTTGCCTTGCACGCAGCCAACCCAGGTTTGATTCCTCCACCCCTCTTGGTGAGCCTGGCAAGCTACTGAGAGTATCCTGCCCACATGGCAAAGCCTGGAAAGCTCCCTGTGACATATTTGATATGCCAGACACAGTAACAACAAATCTCACCATGGAGATGTTAATGGGCCCACTCCAGCATCGATGAACAATGGGAGGATAGTGATAGTGGTAGTGGTAGTATGCTCTTAGATGAGATAAAATCATACAGTTTACCTCCTTTATTGTTGTCTGTTAGTTGCCTGTATGATTATTTTCTAATTTTTTACTCTGCCCGTGGGTTTATCATGGTAGTTCAGGTAAGTGTATCTCTTGTGGGCAGTAGAAAACTGGACTTTGATTTCTGGTTCATTCAGCCTTTATCTGTGCATTTTAATCAAATTGTTCAGTCCATTGATATATTTTAATTTTTTTTTGTTGTTGTTTTAGGGTCACATGTGGCCGTGCTCAGGGATTTTGGTGTGCTAGAGGGATCATTTGCAGTGCTAGGGTTCAAACCAGGCTGGGCCATATTCAAGGAGAGCTCCCTAACCTCTAATCTATAGCTCCAGCCCCCACACAGATATCTAATGTCTAGGATTGAAATTTTAATATTTAGAAAAATTATTTATATAGATAAATTTGTTTTTACTTTATGTGAGGGTTTTGGTAGTTTTTTACCATTCATCCTTTTTTGAAAAATATGAATTCATTTAATAATTTTTACAGAGCTTGGTTGGATGCAACAGCTATCCTCAGAATTTTGTTTAAGAATGCTTACTTCAAATATAAATGATAAACTTGAAGGGTGAGGAATTCTTATTTGTGTATCTTTTTTTTCCTTCACATTCAGGACTTGAAATACCTCATTTAATTCTTTTTGTGTTGTTGAGTTTTGAGAGATTGCATCATAATTTTATACTGTTTATTTTGTATTTAGAGGCCCTGCTTCTCTTTATCCACTTAAAGTCTCTCTCTCTCTTTCTCTCTCTCTCTCTCTCTCTCTCTCTTTCTCTCTATCTCATTCTTTCTCATTTTTGATATCTTGATTACACTGTCTTGGTGCTTTTCTGTTGGCCTCATTTTGATTGATACTCCAAGGGCCTCATATTCAAGATTGCTAAGAACTGCCTCTACAGTCCTAACTGGCAGGGTTTGTCACAGTGACTCAAAGACATATAAGGACAACCCAAGCTCTAGGCTTCCCTGAGCAGCCCTGAGGGAACTCACCTGCGGGCCATTTATCCAGTATATGATATTGTTACCTCACCCTGGATATTTAACATGGCCAATCATCAGGCACCCTTAAAGAATAAAGTTATGAGAACACCCTATTCTAGTCTTCCCTGTGCATATGTTTGTTGTCATGATTTTATTCTAAAAGAGCTACTGTTTTATATAGGGGGCTTTCTTGACCTTGGGGTTTTTGTAAGGGAGATGATTTCTCACACTCTTATATCTGTCTCCTTCAGACTGGAAACATCTCAGATACTGTCTCTTCCACCAGACCTCTTCCCCCATCTCTTTTTACCTCTCCTATGGAATCCCTATGATTCAGAGGCTGTTCCTCTTTTATTGTCTATTACATATTTCAGAATATTATTATTATTTTAAAATCTCTTTCCAAGTTCTTCATATACATGAAGCACATATATGCATTACAAAACATAGCATATATATATATACACTTCATATATGTACACATATATGAGACTTCACATACATAAATAGTGCCTTATCTTTGAGGTCACTGATCCATTTGTAGCATTTTCTATTCTGTTGTTATATCCTATTACTGTACTGTATTCCTCAATTCCGTTTGAATATTTTTATCTTTTAAATTCAGACTTTCTTCAAGTTTATGGAATCTCCTATTGATTTGCTCAGTTCAGTGAACATTGAGATTAGTACTCTTAAATAAACCTCAGTACTGCCAGGTGCTTGTCTCTTTCTTTTGAGGTGGGTAGGTCATGAAACAGAACCTTTTCGGATACTTTGTACTAAATGGGAAAATTAGGTTGAAAACTAACTCTGATATACCCACTTTGGTGGAATTTCCTTTAGTTCTAAGCTGACTGCTTCTAGAAGCTTTTTGAATTTTTTTTGTAGGAGTACTGCTATTTATTCAGCCACTGATTAGCTGATTGAATTGGGCATGAACTCCACCTTAATTTTTTTATTAATTTTTCTTTTTATATTTATTTATTGAATCACTGTGGGAAAAGTTACTAAGCTTTCAGGTTTAAGTCTCGGTTATACAATGATCAAACACCTTTCCCTTCACCAGTACTCATTTTTCACCACCAAGAACCCCAGTATATCCCCCCTCCCAACCCTCCAAATGCCTGTGAGGCAGATGATTTCTACTTAGCTCTTCTCTACATTGATTACATTAATTATTTCAACAAAAAATGCACCATTATTGTTTAGAATTTTCCCCCAAACAATCAGAATTGCTGAAAAGGCATTGTGAAATACTTTGCTTTCTATAGCTGGTTATGAGAACCATATAATATCATGCGGGTATGATTTTGGATTTCTGCAAAGAGACAGAAAATTATGAGATTGGTTTCTGTGTGTCTGGTGTTATGGCCATGCTGGAGAGACGCTCGTGGGTGGTAACTCGTGGCCTCGGTATGGCATGAAGGACATGCCGATAACGGCTCTCTGGCATGGTCATGGCTCCAGAGGCAAAAGGACTTAGTCCAGAGCCCAGCAGCTTGCAGAAGAAAAGTGAATGGACCATGTGTTAAACTACGGAGCCATGCCTCCCCAGGAGGGAAAAGGTGTTGCTCCCTTCTGCCTTTTTCCCCCCTGGCAGCAGGGTGGCCACCACGAGCCGGCGGTGATGGGGCTTTTTGAATAGTTCAGCAGATGAAAGTTGAAGTGTGAATTCTCTAAATAATTTAATTGAATCGAGCAAGGCAGACAAACTACTTGGGTCTGAATGGTGTCTGTGAAGCTCTGCTAGTGTCCTGTTAAGTGATGCTCACATTCAGAATGTCTGCTCTCAGGGGTATGGTGCCGCCAGCAGGTCAATCTGTACCTGTGAGGCAAGTGCATCAGCAGCTTGATGGCACCTTCAGACTTCCAGATACCCCAAAGTTGCTGCTGTGCCTTTGGTCAGACCCAAAAAGTTGGGGCAAAGTTTACCGAGAAAGTAAACTGCCAAAAGTTAGGTATGTGGGAGACACACCCACAAACCGCCTCCGGCTCAGCTATATAATTGGAGGCAAGGCCTCTCTGGTTCCTGATTAAACTGCTTGACGGCCATGATCCCAGAGATTCAGAAACAAATCTCAAAACCCAATGGCTTTTGGCAGAAATGTGTCTGGTCCCTGCAGTAGATTATCGGTGTCAGATCACCCCAGGTGGGAATAGGTTTCGTGCTTTGGCCTGTTCTCCCTGGTGGCCTGGTGGCCATCATCTTCCAGAGGTCACTGGACAGTCAGGTTTGGGCCCACAGTGACAAGACACATGGGGCCTAATGGGATGAGGGTAGAGCTGGCCCTTTCCTCCCCATCCCAATGAGATCCCGAGTCGCCACCCACAAATGGCCTCTCTGGCTCCTCATCAAGCTCCTTAATGACCATGATCAGAAACAAATCTCGAAACCCAGTGTCTTTTGGGAGAAGTGCATCCGGACCCTGCAGTAGGTTACTGTCATCAGGCCACCCCAAGGGGGAAAGGTGCTGTCACTCCACCTGCTCTCCCTAGGCAGTTTGGTGGCTGCCATCCTCCAGAGACCATTGGACAGTCAGGTTTGGGCCCTCAGTGATGAGACACGTGTCCTCACAGGATAGGGGTAGAACCAGCCCTTTCCTCTGTGTCCCAACAAGACCCCGAGTCACCACCCACAAATGGCCTCTCTGGCTCCTGATCAAGCTGCTTAATGGCCATGATGCCAGAGACTCAGAAACAAATCTTGGAACCCAGTGGCTTTTGGCAGAAATGCGTCCAGATCCCACAGTAGGTTACCGGCTCTGGCCCACCCCAGTGGGAATAGGTTTTGTGCCTTGGCCTGTTCCCACTGGCGGCCCGGTGGCCGCCATCATCCAGAGGCCAGTGGACAGGCAGGTTTGGACCCTCAGCCACAAGACATTCGGGGCCTCACGGGATTGGGGTGGAACTGGCCCTTTCCTCCCCGCCCCAACAAGACCTCTAGTCACCACCCATAAACGGCCTCTCTGGCTCCTGATCAAGCTGCTTAACGGTCATGATCACAGAGACTCTGGAACAAATCTCAGAACCCAGCAGGTTTTGGCAGAAATCTCTCCATATTTAATTGTTAAAATTTCAGAATTTCAAAATCGTGTGGCCACTATTGCAGCCGCACAACATCATATGTTATCCATAACCGGCAATAAAAAACCAATTGTCTACTGTTTCCTTTTCGGTAGATCTGAGTGTTGGGGTAAAATCTCAAATAATAATGGTGGGGTCTGGTGTCAAAATATTGAATGTAATCAAAGTAGAGAGAGAGTAATGTGGAAATTATCTGCCCCACCGGTAGAGGGAGGGTGTAGTATGGGGCATACTGTGAGTTTTGGTGATGGAGAATGGACACTGGTGAAGGTATGGGTGTTTCATTGTATAACCGGGACTTAAATCTGAAAGCTTTATAACTGCTCTCATTGTGATTCAATAAATAAAGTTATAAAAAATGAAAAAAAAAAGTAAGGTGACATTCATGCCCAATTCATCAGCCTAATCAGTGGCTGAATAAATAGCAGTACTCCTACATAAAAAAAAAAGAATGTCTGTTCTCAATCAAGGCAGATGTGGGTACACAACACTTTAATTTCATTCAAGAATATTTCACTGTATCACTGTATCACTGTCGCCCTGTTATTCTTCGATTTGCTTTAGCGGGCACCAGTAATGTCTTCATTCGTTCCAGACCTGATATTTTAACAGCCTCTCCTTACTCATCCTTCCCAATGTTGCCATATTGGAGGCTCTTTCAGTGTCATGGGAATGAGACCCGTTATTGTTACTGTTTTTGGCATATCAAATATGCCACGGGTAGCTTTCCAGGATCTGCTGTAATTCAAAAACCCCTAAATTCAAGAATATTTAATACAAATAAAATTGGGGGACTCATAGAGGTAATACTGTGGACAAGGTGCTTGCCCTGCATGTGGATGGTCAGTATTGTATCCATGACACCTCATATGTTTGCCTGATTAGCCTCAGGAGTGATATCTATTCACAGAAACAGGAATGGCACTGGACACAACTGTGTATGTTGAGAAAACGTTAATTCAAATGAGCTATGTGAAGAACGTAATCACCCTGCATAAATTTTTCTGGTGGATGATGGGATAGAGCTGAGTCATCTCAAGTGGCAAATTGTTGTGTTGAGCTGAGACAGCAACCCTATCGATCTGGCTCACCTCAGGAGTTTGTTTCCTTCTGTTCTGGGTGCGGCAGCCCAGGGTGCTGTGCTGTGGATACTCAAGTCTGTTCCCAAGATAGTGAGTGCCAGAAACAAAGCAATAGCCCTTCGAGTTCAGCCTCTCATCCCCCCAGTTGGCACTTTTTATCTGGTACTGACCACCCATATCCAGGATCCTTTTCCTCTTTTATCTCTGTTTCCCCCCTTTCCTCACCCAGGAGTACTGCGCTTTAGCTCTAAATAACTATGTCTTTTGCAGAGTTGAGTCTATCTGAGATGATGAATGTTTTCTCCAGTGTATTTTATTAACTGAGACCCATCAGTTGTGCCCCATTTCAATTTTAGCATTTTTAAAAGTGCGTGTGTGTGTAGAAGTCATAGAAACATTCACATGACTATTACTTATCAGTAGTCTTGAACCCACTCTCTCCAAGAGTATGGATTTCTTAAAATGATTATTTTTCTTTTATATTTAGAATGATATTTTTTCTAGATAAAGTTTTCAATAAAACAAAATAAGTTATAAAAGGGCAAACTATTCTTTTGATGTGTAAAATGCTATTTTTACTTTGTTTTCATTGATATGAATTTGAGATTAAAAAAACACTTTCTTTGTTTTGAGACCACTAGTACTAAGGGTTTCTCCCTTAGTACTGCACTCAGGCATAACTCCTGGTGGGCTCTGGGAACTCTATGGGGTCTCAGGGACCAAACCCCCACTCATTGGATGCAATGCTAGCACCTACTCACTGTACTATCACTCCAGACCCTGAGCAAAGTTGTCATGGGAAGATTTATTACTAATGATTTGATCTGCCTCCCTTTTATTTCATTGAGCTTTGCTTAACTTTCTAAACTATTATTCTCATGTTAGAAAAATAAACACCAAAATGAATGTGCAGTGCTTACTCTGTTCTTTACTTTCCTTCCAGGAATTCAGTGGAATAATATATATGAGGCTCCTGAAGAAGTGGGCATGACATTTAGCTGGGTTTCATGGATGATTCTACTTGATTCGGGTCTTTATTTTTTATGTGGATGGTATCTCAGCAACTTGATTCCTGGTAAGCAACTTCATAACAAAAAACAACAAAACAACTATTCTAAGTGAATATTAGAATGATTATATTTTTAATTGAGACATCAAAACACGAGTTCATATTACAAAGTGGTTATGAAAATTTGAGAAGATGGTGATTTTAAATCATGGGAGAAATAGCACAAATCATGTGAAGAATTTGACAACTGTTGGGTGAAACCCAAGGTCAACTCTACAACTCCCTGTTTCACATGTGTCTGCCAGCAACAGAAAAGCCCTGTTTGGCAAAGTCTGGAGTGAAGTGAATGATTACAGGGGGTCCTGGGGCCCTGATAACCAAGTCAAGGTAACCAAGAGTAAGTAAAAGAAATGAGGGAACAAAACTATCATCCAGGTCATTTCATCTAGAACCTGGGGGAAACTACTGATTGAGAACAAGGGGACAGTCCTGGGACAAACACCATATAATACGCAGAAATTTCCATGTTTTTATGACTAGCAAAACACTTTTTTTCAAGTGGCACATTTTTTTTTCTGTGCCAGGTCTACCTCAGAGCTAATGAGGAAACACAAGTGGTAATGATTCCACTTTATTCCATATAGTTGGGATAAGTAGCCATATCTCACACTGTGCTCAGGCCAAAGAGAACAGAAGAACATTTTAAACATTTTTATTTTGAATTTTCAGAAATACCATTTTGTATTCTTTTGCTGAATTTACTTTCAATTCTGGCTATAAACTTTTCAAAACAACCAAGATTTTAAAATATAGTTTAGATTATAAGGTTACAATACTGTTTATATTTATGGAATTGATATAAAATATTTACTTCACATTATTCAATGTTTTAAGTGACACTTATCATTTACAGATATGATTTCTAACACCACAAGTAAAATTTGTAGTCATATATATCCATTAAAATTAGTGGAATAGAAGAAAAATACCCAAAATTTTATTCTATTAATCAAAATATATACCATTGTTGAAGTTAAGTACCAGTTAAGGATGATACAAAAAAAAAAAACAAAATAATGAGCCATTTAAGAGATCATGTCACATAAAATCAGAAAACTGTAGCCTAAAATTTAGATTTCACTGTCTTTTAACTTTGAATAAAATATTTAAAAAATGTAGATTATAAAAAATAAGTTGAAAATGAACTGATAAGGTCAGTATGAAAGGAAAGTGGGTTAGAAATAATTAGATGGTAATAGGACACTAGTTACTGAGAGGGAAATGCTACAGAACTCAGATATGTAATTAAAATTAAAATATGTGAGAAAGTGCAAGCAATAAAAGGAATGACATTGAAAGTCATACCATCACTGAGTATAAGCCATAAAGCAACCAAGAATCAAGAAAGATGTAGACAAACTGTTCAATGGTGATGGACAGAGTTTACTTTGCAAACCTAATTTTTTCCCAGATAAAACTGAGATAAAACAGAATGAAACACAATAGGAAGCAACCATTTACTAGAAAGAAGAAAAGCAATAATTTCAAATAACAAAAGTAATAAAGGAAATATACTGAATCCAGAAGGAATATAAAAGCATAAGTACAGCACAAACAGATTTCCCTTAACAGTCAAGAGATTAATATAAGATACGGCCAGTGATTCAGAAAGATCTGAATTTTCTCCTCAAATACCAAGACAAAGTATACAATTACTCTTTGATTCATCTTCCTTCTAGCCTGGAAAAACCACTGCTCACACAGGACTCTTCTCTAATAGTTTAAGTTCCACAACAACATCTGCTAAAAGCTCATTTTCAAAAGTTCCTTTTTATTACTTTAATTTATGATGATATTGGCTCATATTCATACTTTAGATCTTAGTGAGGTCTAGGAATTTACACTGAGAGAAGTCCAGATTTATTCACCCAGGTCTATCCAGCCTTAGGAAAGAACAAAAGGGTATAGGAATAGTTTTGGGAAATATAGGTAGAAGGAAACTAGAGGTCAGATGAAGAAGAAGGTGCTCCTTGATGCCTAAGTCAAATTTAATTATGTGATAATGGAACATACAGTAACAGAGACTAGAGAGATATAGGCGCTTGAGTCTGATTAGAGTAGGCTGGGTATTATCATTTATGATAAATGACACAACTAATGTGTGCTGCTGGTGAGAATGACCTAGTCTTACGGAAATGTTGGTACTATGGAAAAAGAGTTGAGAAGAAAGTTTGGAATGCTATTATGAGCAAGTGAGAAGAGGAGTCTCAGTACATGAAGTCTCATGTTCAGTACCTGGATTTTCCAGAAGGAGGCTGTGAGTTTGGGGGTTTGGAGAGAGGCTTGGAGTCTTTTTATGGTTGCCTTAGATTGCTCAGGGCAGAGTAAGATAAACCTTTGATAGGAAATTCAGTGGAGGAATAGGGACCTGTGGATGTGGAGAAATAATGATATTTTCTCAGTTCCCTTTTTTCAATGAAATCGTAATTGTAAAAAAAAATGCTCTGTGCTGTCCTCCCATTGTTCATCGATTTGCATGAGCAGGCCCAGTAATGCCTCCATTGTGAGACTTGTTACTGTGTTTGACATATCGAATACATCATGGGTAGCTTGCCAGGCTTTGCTGTGTGAGCGAAATACTCTCCGTAGCTTGCCAGGCTCTCCGAGAGGGCTGGAGGAATTGAACTCGAGTCTGCCGCGTGGGCCATGTGCAAGGCAAATGCCCTACCCGTTGTGCTATCACTCCAGCCCCTCCCCCCAAAATGTTGAGATAAAAAGTTTTAACTCTAAAAATGGGAGTAAGCCAGAAGATACCAGTAATCAAAGACTAGTCAAAGGAGTATCAGTTTTATATATCTCGTGAGAAAATGGTGCAAGCTGAAAAACAGATAACACCATATAACTAATAACAAATGAAAATCAATATAGGCATGGAAACAAGACATAATTATTAGGACCCAATACTGATTTTTGTAATTTACTTCTAATTTCTGAAATTATATGGGTGAACCTTCTATCATGCAGCTACAGTTGGCTCTGATGAAAATCAGAGTCCATAGAAGTCTGTTTAATAGGAGCCAGAGAGGAATTGGGGGCTATGTCTTACATGTGGCTGATCCTAGGTCAGTCCTTGGAATCACATTGTCCCTGAAGCTTTGCTTGGTGCAGCCTTGAGTCCTCCAAGGACCATCAAGTATGTTGTTGGAGACATCTGAAGATGACGGCTGCCCAGGGTGATCCCCACGTTCTGCATCCTTGGATCCTAGTAATGAATCACTGGCCCAATTGGCCAAACATTACTGGGAGTGACCCCAGTTCCCTTGAACACTCTTTGGAGCCCTGTTCCACAAGCATATTAAATTTTTAAAAAATAATCTTCAATTTCATAAAAGGCTATTGAATTCTCTTCTGTACCCTGATTAATTGTGACCAGTTTCCTAAATTGATTCGTCCCTTCAGTTAAGTAAAATATTATGTATTATGGGCCAAAATAGTTCCCTGTGAGTTATAGCATTACAGGTCTGTGGCTATGACCTTCACAGATGGTTGTCATTGGTGATGTGATACTCAACCCCAGGTTCGGTAACTAGTTCTCCTACAGTGTCCATTCCACCTTAGCTTAGGTCTGATCAGTGATTACATTGATATCCCTCCAGGAAGGTAAATGTCAGGGAGAGACTTTAAAACCCTCAAAATGCTTTTCAGAATTATCTGATAATTTTTGAATACTTTTTTCATTAAATTTAGCATATTTTAATTTTTTCTTTCTTTGTACCCTGATCTCCTGCATGCAAAGCCTGTACTTAGTCACCGAACAAAATTCACATAGACTAGAATTGATACCTTTGATTCTAGTCCATTGATACCGTCCATTGATACCGTTGCAGTGACCCAGACCCACTGGGCATGGGGATTCAGGATAAGAATAGGTTTCTGAGAAGATTGGGGTACAGTTGGGGTCAGAGGTAGAGGACCTTGAGAAGGATTGGAGGACTCAGATTTACCATACTTGAACAATGGTATTTAAAAATATATCTATTCACTGTGCAACCAAAAAGTTTTCACCACCCCTCTGCAATCCCCCTAATTTTCCAAAATGTTTCTGAGAAACTTAGAAAATTTGGAACCATTGCCAGAAGCAACTATTCATTTGATTGAAAAATTAGGATTTCTATTTCCTTTTCTCTCTCTCTCTCTCTCTCTCTCTCTCTCTCTCTCTCTCTCTCTCTCTCTCTCTCTTTCTCTGTTTCTCTCCCTATTACCTTCTGGTGGCTTTGTATTGAGAGATAATTTCAATATAGCTATGAACATATATCAACTCTGCCCATGAAGTTCTTAGAACTTGATTCACCTCATTTCCCTTTCATGGAAATGGCCTCTGTGTACAATTCAGAGCTCACAAACGTATGATGCTCTCAAAGCATCCTCAGTTTATAAACTCTCATGAATGTGTTTTCCATTAAATTTTGTTCTCAATATGTTTAATCTCACTGACTTCCTAGATGATGTCAATTTTGGTCTATAATGCTCATGAACTTCTTTACCTGCAAAATCTAGTACAATTTACCATGAAGAGATGTGTTCTGTTTAAATTGAGACCCTGTCTGTACACATAATGTGCCTGTTTAATTCTGGTAACATAAGAGGATACTGTGCTTCTAGAAACAAATTTGAATTTCTAAAGAGAAGCAAATTGCAGAGGAAATATAATAGGCCTTTATGTTAGCTTGGTTTTCCTAGCTTCCATTAATTTATTTTAATAGATTAATTGTGAGGATTTTAAAACTACATATTAGAACTGAGATAGTATTATTAGCAAATAAACCATTAATTTTCAATTTATCTTTCTTTTATTTTCTATAAGTTTCTCAATTCATTCTTTCCTCTCCATCTCTGTAGGTTTACCTACTTTTTTTTTAAAGTTTCACTGAACTTCTGCATTATTCAGTGCTTCGATAAGCCTTGTATATGCTTCTATGTTCTCCTACGCCTCTGTTAATTTAGAAACTCAAATATTACAGCACATTTAGTTCCAGTGCACACTTATACTCTTAACAGGTGGTTCC